GCGATTTTCTCTTCCCCGGGCTAGGTTAGTTTGAGAGCTTGGATCAATTTGCGTTGTGCGCACAGTTCAGGCTTCATAAGTCGGATGCTAATCGCCTCTGCGGTTGCTAACATCCGAAACCGTATTGGTCTTGAGTGGTGTGGTAAGACTCGATAAATAAATGTAAATGCCGAGCGCATGTCAACCGAATGAACAGTCTCTACCAAATGAGCGACAACCGAGCATGGCACAGTTCTACTGACACCTTGTGTGAGCCAGCGTGGACTGCGTTCTTTGATCCGTTGAGATAACTGCCTTGTCGTTGGACCTACATAACTCGCACCACAGGTGCACTTGAATTGGCAGACAATCATAGATGAGGTCAACATAGGCAGAACTAGTGAGGAGAACCTTACTGGAAAATGGTTATCCTGAGAAGTTTATCGACCGTAATTGGACCAAACAGAATAAGCCAACAAACTACCAAAAGCGAAGAAAATGTTTTTTTATAAAACTTCTGTTCAAAGGCGATCTCACCACTGAGAAAGTCAGTAGAGTTTTATCCTCAGCAGCGAAATCTACATTCAATGCCAATGAGCTAAGATGTGTGTTCTCTACGTCACCAAACACTCACAGGCTGTGAGTGGAACTGTGCCATGCTCGGTTGTCGCTCATTTGGTAGAGACTGTTCATTCGGTTGACATGCGCTCGGCATTTACATTTATTTATCGAGTCTTACCACACCACTCAAGACCAATACGGTTTCGGATGTTAGCAACCGCAGAGGCGATTAGCATCCGACTTATGAAGCCTGAACTGTGCGCACAACGCAAATTGATCCAAGCTCTCAAACTAACCTAGCCCGGGGAAGAGAAAATCGCTTGTTCACACGACCATGACGTAACGATTTTGGTTATGTGATCCGAACTGCGCACATATTTTGAGTTCTCTTGGGCTCATTGCCAAACACATGACTCATCCACCTTTCTGTTTGACCGTATTGAAATTGTTTCATATAAATCTGATTTTAAAAGCCTAAAAAGGAATTTCTCATAATGTTTTGGATTCAGCACCACTTTTTCACGGTTCAAATGGGCAAAGTACATTTCACGCGTTTCTAAGGTGAACAGGATAGCAAAAGGTACAAATGCATACCTGTATATGGCCTGCTCCCATACTCGCACCAGCTTCGCGACAGAGCAAGCAGTTATAGCCCATATCAGAAGCCAGTTCGAGCTCTTCTTCCGTACGCAACTGATCACAGCCTGCATGCGACCAGCGTGCGCAAAGAGCGCATCGGATCAGCAGCTCACCTTCACGATAGGCCAGTGTACATACAGGACAAGTGGCCAATGATGCACATGGAGAGCAAAGGGAGTAGTTTGCATGCCATTTTCCATGCAGTCCAGGATCTCGTTGACCGCAATTATTGCACACAACGCACTCCGAACACTTCCAGCCCCCCTGAAGGTGGAAGAGAAATGGATTTGAAATATACAATAATTTAGAGTAGCAAGCTTAGATTAGCCTATTTGATTCTTCAGAGGCACCAGACACTCTTGATGGTCTTCGGTGTGGGTTTCACTCCTAGGGAGATCGTTAATTCCCCACTGTTTGTTGGTTATCACGAACATTTCCATCGCAGTCAAATGCATACAAACAGTGGGGAATTAACGAGCTCCCAAGGAGTGAAACCCACAAAGAAGACCATCAAGAGTGCCTGGTGCCTCTGAACAATCGAATGGGCTAATCCAAACATTCAGCACCGAAATTGATTGAGCCATTCGCACAAGGTGTTAACCGTCGACCGTGTAGCTCAGGGGTAAGGGTTTGAAGTCCCGACCCGACTGATCGTGGTTCGAGTCCTGACAGGGACAAAAAAAGCACTCACTGCTGACGAGTCCCAAACAGGAAGAAACAGCTGTCCAGTGCTCTTTGTAGGACACCACAAACATTTCCATCGCATTTAAATAAAATAATTTCTTTTACATACAAAAGCCAAGAAATTTAGTTTTAGCCTCAGCAACAAAAATTGGAATACGATGAATACAATGGACTAAACCGGGAACCGTAATCAACTATGGAGGCACGTATGTACCGCGGGGTGTGTATTTCACACCTGTCCGGAATCAGACCGTCAAACGAAGCACGGCACAGTAGTCATGTCACGAACAAGGAAGTAGGGAAATAACTTGCTTTCGATGAAAATGCAGACAACAATTTATGGTGCTAAACCACGCTCCCTTTGTTCCGTCATTATGTGAACTTTTTCTCCTTACAGCTTTTGATGTTGATGCGTTGGTTACGAGCACCACGACTCAGAGGACTAAATGTACGATGTATTCGGCAGCCAATTTGATTTATAAGGCCAAGTGCAAAGCTCATCGAAGTCATTGCATCTCTCAGGAGTCAGGAATCAAGATGGGACAAAAGCAACGTATCCCAATCTGTCAGGACGACATAGGAATTGGTGGTGTCTGCAACGTCAACTCAAGAAAACCCTTTAGACTGTACAAAGTGGTGGACTAAAATAGCTAGTGAAATCAAAGCAGTCTCTGAATCAGGGAGTAATCGAAAACTGCTCAACACCGGAAGGCGTCGCATATCAGTCAACGGAACGATTTGTGATGAAAGTGAAGAGAGTATTCAAAATGAAGAGCAACGGCTTAATCCCTGGGCTAAGTACTTCAGTTATGCTGCAAGACCGGGTGTGGACTAGACCTACTTTGAAATTAAAGGGCCAGAAATTGGTTGAAGTTGCCTGCTTCTCCTACTGAGGCAGTTTCGTGATCACGAACGAACAGCGCACGCAGGACTGATTCACCTTTGGTGCCAATGTAATGCTTTCATCAAACTGAAAGGTCCCGGATAATGCGCTAGTGTGCGGTCAAGTCTGCTCTTCGATTACGTGGAAGAAATGCATCGTCTAAAAGTCTTTGACTGCCGATTCTACGCAACTTCGCGAGCGGTGCATGGGTCGGGCATGTAAGTAACAATGAGGTAGAAGGATGAGTATTTGGGAATGACTCGGTAGAGAATTCGATACCAAATGGAATTCAGATTATTAGGCTTCTTTGGTCAGAACAAGTATTAAACATATTCAGCAATTGTCCACTGCATTGCACTTTATTCACAGTTACCGTTCCAGATAGGATGAAACCACGTGGAGACTAACAGATGAGCTGGAAACGAGGCATGAAGAAATGCACAGAGCAACCGGGTACAGTGGGTGTCTCTCGTCTTCCATTTTAAGCTCCAAAGACTACGAAAATGGTCGACTGGAGAAACTGGAAGATATGGTAGCTAAACGATAGCAGTAGCGTTCTTGTTGTCAATTCTTATCAGGTTGAAAAAGTTGAAAAATGTGCGTGCGCAGTGAGACAGTGTGTTCTGTGTTGACCATAGAGGATCATTTTCTTTGCCTCTCTCGAAATAGGCCATATCCCAGTCCATGTTGTACGTCTTCCCTTACTTGGTGCATATTGTCAGCAACCGGTTAAGTTTGCTTCACTTTCTTTTCCTGCATGATGATGACGATGGCTGCAATTAGTTAGTTATTCTTTAAACGAAGGCTTACTTAGCTCTACAAATTAATTTTTATGTGGCATAGGACATGAGCGCGGATGGAATCAATGAAGTTCGACAGAGAGGTTTAAGATATACACTGGCCATGAATAAAGCTTCCAACCGCAAGCACTTAGCCGTGATGCTAGCTAAATGCCACCCGAGAGCGGTGTATCTTAGAGACCGCCTGAGGACCTAATCTGAGCGACGAGATCTTTCTGTCATTTTTTCTATTTGGTCTAGAGCTTTGTTGCCGTTTTGATTGCTTCCAGATCAATGAATGGAAGAAGGAAAGGAGAAACAGATATGGTAAGAAATCGTTTGAATAGGAAGGTAACATGCATAATGAAATGGAACAATATCAAATAACGCACCGTGCAGGAAACAAGGTTGTCCCACAACACTTGAACTCAATCACGGCAATCAGATCTTACCTAAAGCAGAGACTTCAAAAATATGGTGCAACAGATGCTGTATAAAACCTGTACAAACACAAACAGGAATAACAACCGCTCTTTTGGATTAGTTAGATCCCGCTCTCCACCACCTGACCCACACACACGACTATGTAGCGAGAGCAACAACAGGGTCTGAAATAAAATTATTTTTGGGCAATTCCAACATATAGGAATCATCAAAAAATAGAATGTAAATTGTCAATCATTTCATCGAAAAGCACAAGTTGGTGGGAGAATTCCAAGTCTAACATGAGATCATGGAGCGTAAAATTAAATATCAAAATAAAATGAGGACAAGCTAGAACTATGGCAGAAGATAGTACATCGGTACTCAGATAACCAACCTTGGGTACCTCTTGTAGAGGTGGGTCCAGACAGTAGGTGTGATAGCTTATATCGCAATCATCACACAAGAGTAACAGGCCTTCGTTTGTCGTGCGTCCGCAACCTTCGCACACGGTGCAATCCAGACAACGCCAACCCCGTTCTATCATGGTTCGCGTGATCTTGGGCACGTCAGCACAGAAAGGATGGTAACACTGACCGCATTGAGCACAGGCGAGTAACATCATGTCCAGCCCGAAAGAACCACAAGCTACGCACATATCCTGTTCGAGTACAAATTTATCATCAGCTCGACAGAGGACGACTGTGCTTGGATGGTCGTCTTTTTCATCCGCATTCTTCGACTCGTACTACACGAGATGACAACAAACAATAAAAGAAAAAATCTAACAGCCGAACAAAATCAGACCCGGTGAGTAAAAATTAAATAAAACTGGAGAGAACTAACAACGAACGAAACTGAACAGAAACAAACGACATTTCCTGAACATTATCAACCTGTTCCCATCGAGAGTATGTGGGTTTAGACGTGTTCAGTTGTGGTTCTCCGCGAGAATAAACCGGTGCCCCGGGTTTGTTCCCACGTGCGACCCGAATAGAAACTGAAGCCACACGGCGAACTCGTGTACGGCGTCGAGGCGGTGTCGCACAGACGACGAGATTGTATGCACGTGTTAAGCTCAATTGGGCGGCCAAGGCTGCACGAGTACAACTCGCAATTGGACCCGAGTTTGTCGAAATGTTGCTTGCAACTATCGAAGTGATATTGCAAAGCGATTTAATGGACAGTCTGCGTGACCGAGTACAAGTTCGACCGCTTCTGTACGGGATAGGAGTAGGTGGTAACGGTGGAGGCATTTGTTTATCCTTGACAGATTTTACCTCCACCGAATGTGCTATTACCTGGTAATGGTGGTAAAGACGATGAGACAAAGTAGATAATAAACCACGGAAGAATGATCAAATGGAGACGCCGAATGCGTTTCTGCTGTTATGCCAGTTCAAGTGTTGAATTATTAAGCGGATCGAAGCCGTTTCATAGTCAATTGAGAATAAATCTGGTGATGATCCCAAAATATTAAGACTAGCTGTCAGCTGTTGATTACCGATCTGGATAAGCGAGAGAAACTGAAAAATAGCACAGGAATCTACATGGTAGAATAGTAATATCCTAACAGTATTCAAGGAAATACGAATTCGTCGACTGTAGTGATTAGGACACGTCTTGCGTATGTTCGACGGTGACCTACCACAGGGCACCTTATTCGCAGTGGCTGTTGCAGGCTGGAAAAAACCGTGTGGAAGCCAGCAGAAGACGTGGAGACGAGGCATGAAGAAATGCACAGAGGCATTAGGTAGAGTAGGTGTCTTTCGTGTTCCGGGATGGGGTTCAAAAGACTCCGAAACCACATGGTTTGAAGGTGATGGCTGCGAACCGAGAGCAATGGCGACCATGCTGTCACTTCTCATCAGACCAGAATGCTTCAAATAGTATGTATGCACAGTTGGAATGTGTACTCTGTGTTGACCATATAGGTTTGCTTGCTTTTCCCGTCCCTAAGAAATAGGCCCAAGCCCTATCCTCCTTAAACATTTTCACTTAACTTGTCAGATGAGTTTGGCAGCGATCAGTAAAGTTCGCTTCACTGTATTACGCTGTACAACGATGATGATGATGATGATGATGATGACTGTAGTGAGTGCATAGTGCAATTGTCAAGTCAGTTGCATACAAGAGTGAGTGGAAATACGATTAGGAACAGTCGTATATTTGTGACCAATCCATTATGCATTGTCTATTTGCTGAATCACGGTGAATGCTTTTCCATACCAAATAAATTGGAAACATTGCGTTATTAGTGGCAGTGGTGATTTATTCGCTTTGCCCTGGTCCGAAATAAAAAAGAATGTGATGGGTGCGAATGTCCGCATTCAATGCTTTTCTTGTAACAAAAAACATCCTATTACTAGGTTAATTGGCAACTAGGCTCAATTACGGTGATTAAATTCGTGCAACTGATCTGCACAACCAAGGCCTAACTGACAGCCTGGAGGTTTACCTAGACGAGACACTCTGCCTGTCAATCAAGCATTTTTCGACAGTGAACAGAGCAAATATTAAAATAAAGCGACAAAAAATGAGAACGCCTACCATGGAGGCCTTTCGCGTTTTTGTCCGACGCGATCGATTGGGCATTCCGACTGCTCCGGTAGCTCCAGCCGTACGCTTAAGTGCACCGGTTTTAGTAATCCCGGTAGTGCCATTGTTAACGGAATGAGGAGCCTAAGTTGGGAGCAAGATGAACGAGTCGTGATAGAATGAGGACACATTTTTATCTCTAAAGTAACTGTCTTTCGCTGACTGACATTATAACCCTAGATATTTACGCATAAATCTATATATCCATATTCCTTAAAGCGATAAGAGTTTACATCATCGAGACTTCCAATTTTCACTGAGTCGAAGGAAGTGTGTTGAGGGTGCGAAATGCTAGCAAGGTATCAATAAGTGAATGGCAAACAAACTTTGTTTTTGATACTGTCTAGCTGAATCGAGGTTACCAGTGACTGGTTAACAGTACCAAGCGCCACCTAAAGGCCTTTTAGTGTTTGTGAAAGGCGTTTTGGAGAAGTTGGTTGCGGTTCCATGATCACCACTCTCGGAGTACGAGGATGTACGTTTGCCGATCTATACAGTTATAGGATGAAGGCAATGAGAAATGTACTGGAAGCCAGCCAGTTGGGAGTAGTTGAGAGACTCAAGTACCCCGGGAGCTTGATCGCAACTGGTAATGGTGTTGAGGACGAGATCACATCACAAATAGCGAAAGCTAGAGCAGCTTTCGCCGCCACGGCATCCGACTATCCCTCAAGGGAAGGGTATATATCGCCGCGATTCGTAGCGTTCTCCTTTAGGGTTGCGAGACCTGGCCTCTCCAAGTAGAAGATGCCAACCGATTTTCTGTATTCAACCATCGATATCTGGGAAACATTGCTCGTGTCTGGTGGGAACAGTGGGTGGGCAATAACGACATCCATCGCCGTGGTGGGCGTGGAGTGTCGCTTTCTAAAAGAAGCTATCACCCTACATTGCCTCCGGTGGCGATATCTATGTGTTGACCAAACTCGTGCAACATCCTGATTTTCATCACATTGTTCCTCGCAATACTTCATTTTTTCTGCCTCATTCACGGGATTGAATATGATATGAATATATGATATTGCTCCACATCAGACGCAACATATTCGTAATAATATCTACTTACGTCCTTACTTCTATCAGCCACATGCCATTACAATATAAGATTTCGCGATTTTGGCGATGGTTGCTAGTGCATCAGTTGTAAAATAACAATGTCACAGTGGAAAACATAACTAGAACTTATTTACTAAAATGACTTTTAGACTTCATACAGGTATTGTACTTCCAACAGGTTAATATTCATTTTGCCCTTCTCCATTTTTGAGCACTGGAGGCAGTCTCTTTAACATGGAGTCCACCAAGTTGACTGCCAAACAGAATTTGTTAGTTTCCTCTAATACACCGCACATCCTAACCACTAACGACCAACGGTGCCGCAGCTAACTTATCCCTGTTCCTGATACAGGTAAACGTTTTCGATTAAATTAAGATCCCAGCTGATGCGCGGTAATTGAATGAATTTGTCGTTGAACGTGACCCCTCCAGGAGCTCCATAGATGTAAAAGAATATTTAATTAGGTCAAACCATTTTCTACTACCAACCTCAAATGAAAAGGGATACCAACGTTCACCAGTAAAAAAATGTGACTTCCGCGGATGCATTTAGAGAGTAACAGTTACCGAAAACCTCTCATACCAGTGCATGAAATTTTGCGATATCCAGATAGGTGTGTGCATGAGACCAATAACAAAGCACTAAGTGTGATGGATGTTTTCTTCTTTTGACAGGTAGAACGAAAAATATCTCAGTAAATCAGCTTTCATCGCATGCTGAATTACTCGTTGGCCACCAGTGAGATACACCCATTGCCAAATGGACGGACGACGCGATTTGAATTTGTCGGTAAAATCAATACGTGCTCTGCTTTGTTGGGCGCTGCATAACGGCTTCATATCACGTGGCCTCAGCTGCATTTTAAATTGAGCCATCATTTTCCAAACGAAAGTGTGAGGAATAAATGGCTAATCAGACTATCATCCAGATAGTGCAACTCTTTTCTTTTGCAATTAAATACAACCATTGCTTTGCTTTGATATGATCGATTTTCTCTCTCCCCGTTTGTCTTGGAGAAATTCCGTTGAATATGCAAACAAACTGGACTTATGTTCACATCAAAGTACTTCCATAAGACACTAAATGAATTATTGGATTTATGTGATTCTCGAATAAGTTCCCTCTAGGCTTCCATTGTATGTAAAAACCTTTTGAATATGTTATCCGGTTTGGGTATGGTGACACTGTAAGACGCTCATTTGACGAGTCGCACACCTCAAGGTCAACCTTCGAAAAGCAATTGGTTTCTTGGACCATATATCGAAATCCATCAATATTCTGGATAATGCGTGAGTGGTTTGTAGTCAAATAACTCATGAATTTATTTAAGCTAGAATATTCTCATTAAATTATTTATTTGCTGTGCATTGAATGAAAAGAAATGTCATTTAGAATACATGTGCTCAACCTAAAAAAACACTCGTTAAACAGCAATCAATTATAAAAAAGAATGAATTCCAATGCTGCTTTGCATAAAATATTTTCGAAATCTGAGGGGATACCTTCGAACTACTACAAATTTTATCGCAACACCCAAGGCCGCGCGAATTCAAACGGTGATTGAAGAGAACTGAGAACATAGAAGTGGGAGATGAAATCAGGAATATATACAATTTACAGATAGCCATCACTATACAAGTTTGATATTGGAGACTGAAATGTATCTCCAAAACGAGAGTAATGCTGCACGAGTTTGATCAACACCTAGATATATATATATATATATATATCATGATAAATAAATTGTGAATGACTGGACAAAATTTCCCTGGAAGCACATGATTGGCTTCGCGATCCTTGTCGCTCGTCAGACAAGCGTATCGGGTAATCTTTTGCCAGCCCATCCATATACTTGTACCCGGGAAGTGTATTTTCGTCACAATAAGCTTGTTTACAACACCGGGTATAGATCATTATATTATTATATATTTAAAACGCCTATAGACCGTAAAAGAGAAAGATAACTGAATAGAAGCTTTCGCAAGTTGAATAAAATGATCACGATGGGAACAATCGTTTTGTTAAATCATATCTTTCAAGCTTAGGTAGCACAGTTCTACTCCCTGATTATT